GAGGACCCCCAGAAACCCAAACTGCCGCCTGGCGCTACTCACACTATGTCAGCTCGGGAACTCTGGTACGCAATCGCCGTCTGACTTTCTAAATCATGTTCGCTTACAGGTCGAGTCTTTGGCTCCATTGAAGGTGTTCGAGGCCGGTCTATCGTCCCCAACGGAGCCCCGCCTCCCTCCAGTGTTAAAGTATATCAGCTCGGCCGTGTCGAGATGAGTCCATCATCCAAGGACATGCCAGCATTGAAGTGACCCATGCCCGTCAACAGTCGGCGTTAGTCGTGAGTTTTCAGATTTGTTGAAGTCATTGGCGGATACTTCCTCAGTATGTGTTTACCTCGCAGTGCTTGCAGGGACCATCCACTAGGTTAGATTTCCGCATACTATAAATGTGGTACTTTTTCTCTCAGCTGGTCAAGTCGCGAGACCTGTGATGATAATAATGCTGGCAGATGAGCAGAGCACTCCTAAGCTAGAGGTGGCCGACACCTTGGGAAAAAAGTCCATTGCAGGTGAGCTCATATCAAGGAGTGAACAGCTCGGTGAGGATTTCTCTCAGGGATCCACTTCGGGAGCAAATCACGACTCGTGATGCTGCGCTACTTTGATCCTATCAACAGAACTCTGCAGTTCCTCACTACGGCCACCATCACCCCATCACCGGCTGGTCTTGCCAAAGTTGCTAGGTGAGGCACCAGTCATTCCTGACTGCATCCCATAGGGCCTCCAGGTACGTTATTAATAAGAGGTTCGGTCGAGCTTCGGAGGCGGCCCATGCCACGGAAAACCTGGCCGAGCGGACGGACTGGAAACTGTAGCACATCCAGTTGGTGGCTCTTGGCGATTCGATGAGCCCCCGCAGGTTCCTCGAACGAGATGGCAGCGCTATAGAGGTTGATGCTCTCAGTGACATGAACAAGTCAGTGTTCAACGTAGGAGGTCTTGTCGAGCTCCTTCGACCCTCTAGGGCTCGTCTTAGGATGTCCTTGGGAAGTACCAACGTAGCATTAGTGATGGTGAGGTCATCGTTGTGCAGTGGTACCAGGAAGGAGTCTTCACGGTAGGCTATTCCTCCCTACTCTTAGACACTGTGGGTGCATGCTTTCAGCTGGGTCAATATTTTGAGTCCCTCAAGCACTCAGCGCCCGTCACCTTTGTCGTCCACGACCCCTTCACTCGTCTCCATGGCCCGGGTGTGGACTTCGTTGACACGACAGCATCGAGTGAAGGGCCTCCTCGGTACACTACACACGAGATGATGGTTGATGTAGGCGTGCTACTCCTGCTACTCCTCGTCGTGTGTTACACTGCAACTGTAGATACGTATCCCATTGCAACAGGCTGTGATGGATCTAGTAGAAGCGAACAGAGACTCCAGCAAGCCGTCTCAATTCCTGTGAGCCCACTATCTGCATCTACTCAATGAATTGTTCTCTCTAGACCTAGCTCTTCAAAAGAGCTCGGCGAACATCTCCTATACATGTAGAACTACCCTAGGGCTTTGCTCAGCACCGGAGACCACTCCACTAGATACACCTATGACCCGTTTTTCGTACCCCTCGACTCCGGTGAGAGCAGCGCCTTGGATGATTGCATCTGCCGAGATTTGGCTACACTAGTAGAAGGAGATTACGGTGGAGCCTTCTCCCGTCTGGAGCCCTTCGCGTACTCCCTTGAGCGTTTCCTTCTACCAGCACATGGTTGTTACATTCAGACATCCCGAGTTGCATCTGGTATTCTTGCGTAACCAGAGCATGCCAGTCCAGAGTTGATGCCAATGATGTGCAGGGCGTAAGGCTTATAGGCCATCACTTACTTAGTATGGTGTTTCGTTCAGGTTCGATGGTCCGAGGG